AACCACCCCCCCCCCTAAAAAAAAGTAAAAAATAAATAAAAACCCAACCAGATTCTCGTTGTCATGTCCATATTCTTCTCATTATAACTCAAACGAAACTGGGGCAAACGGTAATAATATGTTGCAGTAATAATATGCCGATACGTAGCACTCATTTTGTTTTGTTTTAGTAAGAGTTTTACGGCACTTGCAACACAATAACGTCATATAAGTGCCGAAGATTAGAGGTGTTACAAGAGAGTACTAACACATATTATGAAAAAGAATGGAGGAGAGATTAGGACGATAGGTGTTTGATAGGAAAGAAGGAGCAAACCACACCAGAGCTCCCGCCAACCACCCACACGTAGCACTCAGGATTCCCTCATACTTTTCACTCCCTCCCTACCCCACCCCACCCCACCCCACATTTTTCTGTTCTGTTGATCGGCGTCTTTTGAGATGTTGAATGAATGGCGGCCTTTACGGCGGCACGATGTTGTTTCACCAGAGACGGTTTCCTATTACTGTAAAACTCCCTGGTAGAACTGTATAAACCTGAGGCAGCGATGTTGTTTCACCAGAGACGGTTTCCTATTACTGTAAAACTCTTTGGTAGAACTGTATAAACCTGAGGCAGCGTATGTTGTAAGCCAAATTAATTAAACTGCACCACATGACAACGTCGTCCTTAGGGAGAAATGGCGCGTTCCTCGAGAGCGACCGAACAGGGTGATTTGTCGACGCGGGGCTGTATTGTTCGCACGGACCGGTAATGGTTTCCGTGTTTACTCAAGACAGGGAAGCCCGTCCATGTGTTTTGTCCCGGCAAAATACAGATGGCCGTCTGCACCAGCCTCGGATAAACGCGTGTCATCTGATTAGCCTAGACAACGACGTACGTACGCGGGGTCTCGTTCTCGGTGGCTTCTCCCAGTGATGAGCCGATACCACGATTTAGACATCGATCGATGCCTAGTACTTTCAATGATAGTACATAACAAGATGGGCCACTTCTCTCTTTGAGCCAATTAAAAAAGT